GTTAAAATAATTATTCTAAAAATGCAAACCCTCACATTGGAGAGAGGTTGGGAATGTTCAATCCTTCAGAACAAATGTATCATTTTGGTTTTCCTTCAAGACATGGAATAATATGGGCTAAAATTCTGTAAAGGGTTTCCCTATCCATTCTTGTCTTATGTAATTAAATAATACTGTATATAGGTAGCCAAAATAATTTATAACTAATTAATCCTAGAAAAACTTGCATATAAACCTTGAATCTTAAATATAGGTGTAAGTAAGTCAACCTTTAATCAATAGAGCTTACTCTGAATAAACATGAAGAATATTGCATTACAATGCAATTATTAAAAAAAACCACATAGCTCCCCGGCCTAGTCAATAGAAATTTTCTTTAGTCTAAAATCCACTCACATTTCTAAAGACTTGGGTAGTATTTAATGTCACTCACTATGCAAAGATAGCTTGTTTAATTTGAAATATGATAGAGTTTTTTAAAAACCTAAGCTCTAACATTGGAACATACAAAATGTAAGTTTAAAAAATAGCATCACAGCATTAAACCATCCATATATGCACATACAATTGCTGGTCTTTTTAAAAAGAAACATGCATGGATTGAGTACTTTTAGATACATTAGGTCAAAATAATTAATAGTAAACTGAAACAATGACATAGTGATAGAAAAGCAAAAAATACAATCCTGGAGATTAAGTGTGATAAAACCCATCTGTTACATATTTTTACCTATGAGTAATTATTGTTGAACCCAGCTATTCTTAATGTAACAAAGGCTTGCCAAGGTTGTGCAAAACTCAAAGAGTTTGATGGAGACCATTTTGGCAGTCAGATGATCTAACAATTGCAGGGACAGAGATATAAAACAGAAGATCAGGGTGTGTCAGATGTGAACAATCAGATGCACATGTATAAAGTTCAAAGTAGCTACTTTATTGTTCTCTGACAATAATATAAAAATATGCCCATACTGGGACCTTTTGCTTGGGAAAGACTATATAAGGCTCAAAGGTGTGTGGGGAGCAAAGGGGTGTTTTGTCAGACTTTGCTCTCTGGTACTTATATGGTGAGTCCAGGCTAATCATACTACTTGAGCGCTCTTCCCATCTGGGATGGTTGCTGTCCGATGAGTACAAACCATAGGTTTTCGGTCATAAATACTCATTATATCACAATTAGGAAGTGTGGTTCTCTAGATTTTTGGATGAAGTTTGGAAACATTCCTTTTCCAGATATTTTGTCTATTTTAGGGCTTTTACTTCATTTTTTTGGAAGCAGTAATGCAAATTGTTAGCAGTTGTGATTCTAGGAACTCAGAAATGTGGGTTGCTGCACTGCAGCTGCAAATTGTTCATCCCTGGGCTAAATGCATCAATTAAAATACAAGTAGGGAAAGTATACAGAGCAGTGCTTCCTCAACCTTAGCAATTCCCCATGCTGTTCTGGGGAATTCTGGGAGTTGAAATCCACATATCTTAAAGTGGTCAAGATTGAGAAGCACTGATATAGAGCATGACTTTTGGATTTGTTCTTTTGGCCAAAAAGAAGCAGCTGTGTAAACTTGCTCCTTCAATGAAATAATATGTCACATTTTTGTGGGTGCTTGTGTCATGTGCATGCTTCTGCTCTCCTTTTGTCTTTTGTCTGTGTTTGTGTGTAGGGGTCTAATTAAATAAATATTCTTTGCTCTGGATCTACGATCAGGAGGTTAGAATGGAGGAATTTGCAGCGTTCTCTGTATATTGGCTGACTTTTTCTGAATTTTTTTCTTTTACCAGATCCTAGCAAGAGCCCACCTGTTTTTTTTAATTTGGTTTTTCTTTTGAGAGCTGCTCTTACACAGATTGAATGAGGACCCATTCTGCTCAGTTTCCAGAGACTTATCATGCAGGCAAGCAGATTGACAAGAACCTTGAGTCTCTGTATAAAATTACTTTCCAGCATACTTTCCAACATACATTTCCAACATTGGGTTGGAAAGAATTAAAAATATAAGTGCATACATTTTTATCAAAATAGCTGTCAAGAGATACAGATATATTACTCTGTTATAACAGAAATAGCCAAGAGTTTTGATTATGTAAGATTTCCTGTTATTGTAACAGAATATCTTTGTATATGCAATTAATTTTCCTAAAAGGTCTTTGGAGTAGCTGGTAAAACTGTTCTGTTGTGGTTATAGTGATTAACTATTTTAGAAAGTTCCTTTGCTTTAGTGTAACTTTTTTTTTACTAATTTTTATTTGGGCTAATTTTTTTCTTATATTATTTTTATGGCTTACTTTTAAACAGTCTCTAATACACATTGGTATGGTTTGCATACTGCACTTAGCCACGATTTTAACCCATGGTGAGTTTCACATATTCATTAGCCACCTGGGTAACTTTGAGCCAGTCACTCTCTCACAGCCCAACCTACCTCACAGAATTGCTGTTGTGAGGGAAATAGGAGTAGGAAGATGTGTTGGATATGTTCACTGCCTTAAGTTATTTGTAAAAACAATAAAGGCAAGAAGATACAAATAAATATCCATGAAATGGTATTGGGTGGGGATTTGGCGTGTGGGGGCAGAGTGCCTTTCAAATAATAGGATGCCAAGGTAGTTTTAATAAAAAATAATTTGCTAATGAACCAACCACACATCAAATGTCATGTTAACCATTCTTGATAGGTTGTTTGATCATTTCCCCCTCCTCCCCCCAATGTCTAGGATGCAAACTAGAAAAGGCTGCAGAGAAGTTATTTGGTCAAGAAGCAGAATAAAGAACAGTTATGCCCCAAGTACTAAATAAAGTATTTGATCTTACAAAAAAATTAAAAAATACTCTATTTGCTAAAAGCAAATGGATGTTGCTCAGAAAGAAAAACAGATGAAATATTTACTATTGCAATATTCATACAAATTCTACATCTGAACTATTATGGAAAATGCATTCCATACAGAAACAAACATAGTGTATCAGTTAAGGCAAAAACTCCCCCCTCCCCCCCCAAATGTAGCATCCTTCTAGCTGGCACATCTCCTTTTTAGTTGTGTGTTCTCCTCACACACTCTAATTTTGTCTGTTTTTTATTGTGCAGAATAACTATTTTTGCACAACTTTCTTAATGTTGTTTATTTATTGCTAATATCTCAATTTATATGGTGGCCCATCTCAAGTTCATGACTCTGGAATATGCCTCTTTTGTTGGACCTAATGGGACAGGTAGATACAGTATGATGGGGAAGAGGTGGCCCTTTAAAACCCCAGCCCCATACCATGAAGGGCTTCACAGTTTAAAACCAGCAGCTCATAGAGCACGCACTGATGCATTGAAGAGGGCACTTAACTGCCCATGCAGGTGCATTCTGTACCAGCTGTAGATGCTTTTGAATTAACCATTTTTGGGTCCATACAATATACTGTATTCTAAACTCACCAAATGAATTTAGCTTGCATAAAGCACAAATTCCTCCCCATGGTTAATACCAAACAAGCTTAAAATGCTATACTAATATAGCAGACATGGCTTACCTGGCTCAAGTTAAATCTTCTGAGGTGATACAAACCAGGCTTTTCAAAAGAAGTTGTAAGTGGCATTTTCATATGACAGTGTGTTTCTATTGCTCACTTAAGAACCACAGACATTTTTAGACATAAAAATGCCATCACAAGTTGGCACTTGAGTTTCCAGACTGGAAAAATTTTGTATTGGAACAACAGTACTATAATACCACTGCCACCAATCAAGAAATGTAGAAACTCTGGTGGGTGCCAAGGAAAATACTGTGGGCAGACTTGGGGACTCCAGCATAAAATAGAATATTTTGTAGTTAGATAATCTATAGTCCTCTCAAGACACACCCACACATACCAGGTGAGATTTGAGAGCTGCATAACAGGCACATGCTACGTGAACAAAGAAATTGCATAACGGATCATCCCAAAAGGTTTATCTAAGTCCAACATCCTGGGAAGTCTCAGGAATCTGTCAAGCATAAAAGCTCATAAAAGCTTCTATAAAATCACACCTTTTAGTTCCTATTTAAAGAAGATGAGCTTAGGTTCTGTTCCCGGAAACAATGCTATCAAAATCAGTATGATTTTTTTAAAAAATCATCTCATATTTTTATTAAAAAGCCCTCTCATTTATTAGCTGGGTTGACACAAATGTTAAAAACTCACGACATAATAATTTATCATTTGAATGAATCTATCCAATCATGATTTATTCTATAAAGTACAGTTAAACATGACTGTATGTGTAAAAAGCGCACATAGTCTTCAAGGCTAGTTTCTTAGTATGATTTGATTGTTGATTGTACCCTATGACTATCATTAAGTGTTGTACGTTATTATTCTTGATTCTTAACGAATGTATCTTTTCTTTATGTATACTGAGAGTATTTACACCAAGACAAATTCCTTGTGTGTCCAATCACACTTAGCCAATAAACTATTCTATTCTATTCTAGTTTGCCATTGCTTCATTTCAGGATGTTTTTGAGATTTCCTACTTGCGCCAAAACCCCTGATATTTCCGAATGATTTTCCATCCAATTATTAATCAGGCTTAGTTATTTTGAGATCAACTGAAGCCACCACAATGCTCTTCTAACTCCACCGATTAATCAATGCACTTAGTGATGAGATAAAGTATTGTTCTTCCTTTCCTAGCACTGGCTTTCCCATCAGTAAGGTTGGATGAGCTTGTTTTCCAGGAACTTACCCGATCCTGTTTCTCCACCTCATAATTCATATTACTCCCTCCATCAAATTACTCCCTTCCGGCAAAGCTCTTGCCTTCTATTATACTCTCAACCCATTCCAGGCATCGTAAAGCGATCCACTTGTAAGGTCTCTAACCGTCGCACCGACCTCACCTGTAAGGGACGGAAGCCACATTTAGTGGCGATCTCCCAAACTTATTTCTGTGCTGTGCTGTGGCAGCGATAGATTCCCACCTGTCCCGACCCTTCCCTGGAGGCGCGCGGAATGGATCCCGCCAGACACTCACCTAATCCTCCCGCTGAGCGAGACCACCAGCAGCAGGAGCAGCAGGAGCAGCAACAGGAGAAAGTTCAGCCAGCTTGCGCCGAGGACGAAGGCGTCCATGGTCCGGAGGAGCGCAGACGCTCTCGCTCTTTCCCCGGCGCGCTTCTGTCTGTGCCGCTCTCCCGCTCTTCTCTCGCCTCCGCTTTCTTCCCGGCTCCTGGCGCTCCCCTTCTTTGCTCTCCTTGCCCTCAGTCCCTTTTTGAAGCGCTCCGCCCCCGTTCCGGGTCCGCGCTGGGCCTCACCTCAGCCCGACCCGGCAGGCTTCGCTTCGTGGGGGGGAGGAGAGGAGAGGAGAGGAGAGCGGGCTTTTAGCGTCTGTCTGCCTTTCCTCATCTGACTTCAGCTCAGCCAGAAGTGGTTGCCGAAAGATTTCCACCTCGTCTTTCTTTCCTATGCTTCGAGGAGGGATTTTTCGGGAACGAGGAAGCAGCTATGGGCCAGGGACTCCAGATTTTCCTCAACTGCCATTGCATTGTAGCACAGCTAGGCCAGATCGCTATGTGGTAGGGCGTAGAGAGGGGGCAAAATTTATTTTTATTTATTTTATTTATTTATTTTGATTTGTCAATCGCTTAGAAGATAATAGGTATAAGTATATACATAGTTATGAATACATGAAATGGGTATATATAAGAAAAATAAAAGAAACAATAGGACAGGGACGGTAGGCACGTTGGTGCACGCCCCCTACAGACCTCTTAGGAAAGGGGTGAGGTCAATAGTAGACAGTCTAAGGTTAAAGTTTTTGGGGTTTGGGGAATAAACCACAGAGTCAGGTAGAGTATTCCAGACATTGACCACTCTGTTGCTGAAGTCGTATTTCCTGCAATCAAGTTTGGTGCGGTTAACCTTGAAAATGGAAAATGGAAGAAGGTTGCTCCAATTACAATTCACCACAAAAAACAGCTCATAAATTGATGCCTTGGTCATAATTCTATGGCCACACATCGCACATGGCATGACTCCCTGCTGCCGTGTAAAACAACAAAACAATTTTAGAAATATTCAAAAGGGACAAAAAAGTAATATTTTAGAAGGCTAAGAGACAGCATCCAATTAACAAACAATTGGAGCCACCTAATCAAATTATTGCTCATTAGCGAGATTCCCCAACCCCACTTTTAAAAATTATGGAGAATCCCAAAAGAGCTTTTGCTTGTATGGGTTGTATTTATCAATATTTATCATATTAAAGGTTAATACTAACATGTTCATGGAATTTTTATTTATTGTATCATGTAAAAATTACCTATATTAAACCCATTAGGTAGTAATATATTTCCATGAACAAAGCTATATATTTTAACAAACAGAGAAGAGCAACTGTTTTATATTTAAATATATTTCCAAATATCTAATATCAGGAAAATATTTTTTATTTCCTGGACTTCTGAGAAGGTCTCGAGGGAGTCTTCAGATGATACTTTAAAAAAACTGTCCCAGAGGAACAATCCAGCTACTATCATGTCTATAAGTAACATTTCCTAATGGAAATAAAAGAATGTATTTGGCACAAATCTCACTTGAACATACAGCATGGTAACTCAGATCCTTTCGGTTCATAAACATACTGTTAGAGACTCCCTGAAATCAACAATTTATTATTCTTACATTAAGAAAATTGGTGCTCAAAGGTCAAATGTTGCTAGTACTCTGGGAATGCAGCAAGGTGACATTGTGATTCTCCCTCTTTTGGCAAACCGATTAAAGAAAGGACGGGTGACCGCAGGTTTTGTCTTTAAACTGGAAAATGCACCCCTTTCTCTTTGTAGGCTGTTGTGAATGTATTGGCTGATTGACTAAGTAGAGTTCAGTGTCACCTCACTCCAAACCAACTCTGGGAGGTTTGCAATATAAAGAGAACAAGCTAAAACTCAACAAGGTAAAGAAAAAAAACAGTACAAGAAATAAACAAGTGAGAAATCCAGAAAACCAACAGCAAAATATATGCAATAGATACCAAATGCAGCCAACCTGTGCCAAGGCTTGAGATCCAGAAAGTCGTCTGGGTGAATGTAGATTAGGTGCCAGCCTGCAGGCTTAAATAAACACTACACCACCTCTATTAATGAGAGATGGCTTTGCGATGCAGGTTTCTCCAGCCTGTGCCATTCCTAGAGAGAGAATCTCTGATGAACCAAGGCTGGAAGAGATTTTCATGTTCCCAACAGCCTCTAATTACAGTTTGGGAACTGGGCATCTGCAGTCTCATTTTGGAATAGTAAAAGCAACATTATTTTGCAAGATCTTTCCCTTTGGGATGCGCATGTGAATCAAAGGGAACAGGGCTTGCCTTACAATAGTATGGCATTACTTTCTTCAGATCAATCTATTTTACCCTCCATAAAGATCCAGCTGGAAGAACGTGGGAAAAGAAACTTCCATATTTTTATACAGGTACATAGATCAGAGATAAGAGCCAGTTTGTTATACAGGAACTCCTCCACTTCAAACAGCTAATTTAGTGACAGTTCGAAGTTACAATGGCACTGAAAAAAGTGACTTATGGCCGTTTTCACATGATCATTGAAGCATTCCCATGAGCATGTGATCAAAATTCAGATGCTTGGCAATTGACTCATATTTATGACGGTTGCAGTGTCCTGGGGTCATGTGATCACTTTTTAAAAACTTCTGACAAGCAGTCAATGGGGAAGCCAGATTATCTTAACAACTGTATTACTAACTTAACAACTGCAGTGATTCACTTAACAGCTTCGGCAAGAAAGGTCGTAAAATAGGGCAAAACTCAACAAATGGATCACTTAACAATAGAAATTTTGGGCTCAATTGTGGTTGTAAATCGAGGACTACCTGTACTGGTTGAAGGCACCAGGTGGAAGAACAGGAGAACTGGAAGTTCTGGAAGCATGATGTCAGCTGGATGACCTTGAACCAATTCTTCTCTCTCAAATATTGGAAGAAGGTGGCAAGGAAAAACCACTTCACAAATCTTACTCAGAAAACCTCAGGGGTTAATCAAGGCAGGCACCAGAAGACAGGACTGACTGGAAAGTCACACACAAATGATAAACTGTATAGTCAGGAATTTGCTTTAGGGTTTTCTTTCTTCTGTGTGATGCTTTATAGTCTGTAAAATTTGGAGAATTGGGTATAATTTTAGCCTTTTGTCATCCTTCAGGCTGTATTCAGGATGATTTTTTTTTTCTCTTAGAACCTTCTTGTGATCTAATAATAATCTGAAACCACTCTAGTTTTTTTAAGAGATTAAGGCAGACAGTTTTCCATTGTTCAGGCCCACATCATCATGTGGTTTGTCTCGAATATGGTATTTTTGTTTGGATTTTTTCTTTTAAAATTAATTTGTAAGCTGACGCATGACATGATCTGGGCAGTTCTATAATTTATGTTGATACTACATTGTCATACTTAAAGTGAAACAGGTCTTTGTCTTCTAAAACATATTAATCATTTTTAAAAGAATAGAGAAAGAAATAAAAAGGAAAAAAACAAAGATAAAAATAATTAATACAGAAATATATGCATAAGTGGACCAAGGAGTTATGAGGGTTGTACAGTTAGTGCTCAAATGATAAGGAAATTAACCATAAAGAATAAAGTAAACTGAATAATTTAACAATAGGAGAAAATATCTGAGTACTCAAATCTCCACTATTTTGTATTTAAAGATACAAAGAAAAAAGGCTTCTAAAAACATTATAAATAAATATTTAGCTTCCAACTTCCCCTTTGTTGTACTTCTACAATATATAATGTTATAAACATTTAAAATACTCCTGGATTTCTATTCTAAGTCCTTTAGTCTATTTTTCTTCTTAAAATAAAAACTATTCTTTAAATATTTACATTTGCCTTGCTGCATAATATAGGGGGTAAACGAATGAACAAATGAACAAACGAACACTATACAGAAGCCTGATGATGGCAGATGAGATTCTGCCGAAACGTTGCTACAACTTTAAAAGCACAACTATAATGACGTGGGAAAATACCCGAACAAAGCTGAATAGCACACATATAAATACCCGCAAAAACTTAAGAAAACACACACACACACACACACACACACACACACACACACATATGCTATTTTTGCTTAAATTTGCTAAACCTGTGTTGTGAATATGTGCTGTTGAATTCTCATTACTTCATATTTTCCAAGTTAAAATTTCTGAGTCCTATATTGTTCATAATGTATTTTTCCACTGTTGTGCTAAGTTTGTCCTCCTGGTTGCTAATATATATTTTAGTAAACTATGATTTTTTTATTAATATATATTGTGGAATTATGCCTAGTAAAAAAATCATAATTCTTTCTAGTTTTTATTTATTTTTAAAAAAATAAAATTAGATTTCTTTTATTTCTTATGAGATGGAGCTGGTTCCCAAAGTGGGGTAGGTAGGATTGATCCCATTATTGTACCTCTTCACTAAATGATTAAAAGAAGTTGACCTTTTATTCACCAAGAAAATAACAGAAGATGCCTATCTTCTATCCTCTCTCTCATACTTTGGGCTTGTAGGTTGGGCACTAGGTAAGGTGTTACCTGGAAGGTAATTGGTTGCAGCAGGAACTGCCAGACCATTATTCAAAGCCAGGAGTTGGGCGTCAGGATATCATTAACAGATAATCAGAGTTGGAAGGGCCCTTGTAGGTCTTCTAGTCCAACCCCCCCGCCCAAGCAGGAGACCCTACACCATTTCTGACAGATGATGGGAGTCCAATCTCTTCTTGAAAGTCTCAAGTGATGGCGCTCCCACAACTTCCGAGGGCAAGCTGTTCCATTGGTTGATTGTTCTCACTGTCAGAAAGTTTCTCCTTATTTCCAGGTTAAATCTCTCCTTGTTTAGTTTCCATCCATTATTCCTTGTCTGGCCTACAGGCACTTTAAAAAATAGCTTGACCCCTTCCTCTCTGTGGCAGTCCCTCAAATATTGGAAGACTGCTATCATGTCTCCCATGGTCCTTCTCTTCACTAGACTAGCCATGCCCAGTTCCTGTAACCTTTCTTCATATGTTTTAGTCTCCAGTCCCCTAATCATCCTGGTTGCTCTTCTCTGTACTTTTTCTAGAGTCTCAACATCTTTTTTATAGTGTGGTGACCAAAACTGGATGCAGTACTCTAGGTGTGGTCTTGCTAAGGCTTTATAGAGTAGTATTAGTACCTCACTTGATCTTGATTGTATCCCTCTTGATTGTTAAATCTGAAAACCAGGAAGATTTTAGAGAGATGAGATTTGAGCCTTTCACCATGTAAACTTCAGCAATCTGCCATATAAGTATTTGGAGATTCTTTGATAAAGAAAAAAATATAGGATACTGTATTTAAGGAACTGATCTAGACTATGATGCTC